AGCCTTATTCCACACATCTGCTAGGACTCCTGTACACAGAGGTGCATTAAAAATCAGTTGAAGTAGAATGAGGTGCACATTCTCTCAGAACCCCATGGTGAAACTCCATCTGGGCCAACTGCTTTGTTCTTACTTAGCTCTTTGAGCATATTTTCACTTCGTCTCTAGACACGTCTATGTGCTCTATGTTGTTCTGTGGAATTCTTATTGTGTCTGGTTCCCTGAAGATTTCATTTTGTACACTTTGAAATTTGGAAGTGTTGGAACACACTTTTTTGTTTAATATTTCACACATTTCATTTTAATTTTCCATGAATCTGTTTCCCATTTTCAACCTCTGAATATTATCCTTTACCTGCAATTTGTTGTTGATGAATTTAGTGAATAGGCCTGGTTCTGTTTTACATTTGTCCGCTATTCCTTTCTCAAAATTTCTGCCTCTCTCCTCACTGCCGTGAAGTTGTTTCTCCCATCTTTGTGTCACTGGTATGTTTGGGGTTTGACCTCTTCCTGTATTTATTCCATTTTTGTGTCTTTTGGTCTCGGGCCCTCTCTCAATTTTTGTTGAACCACTCCTGTTTTCTAGTTCTACATCTCTGCTCTGGTATAAAGTTGTCTGTGCCTTTATCATATATTTCACAAAACTTGACATTTACTTCCTTGCCAAACAGCAAGTCTTTCCAGTCAAATTCCTTAAAGAAATTTCCAAGTTCTCAATAATGTTCTTTCCTGAAATCATGTTTTTCAACTGTTTTAACTTCCTCCTTTTTTTCCAGATTATAATGCATTGCATACTTTATTCCCAAAAGGACATGGTCACTTTTTCCCAAGGGAGGAAAGTACTGAATGTCAAATATCTCTTCCTCTTTTCCAGTAAATATCACATCCAACATGGAGGGGAACATCCCCATTCTCATAGCTTGTTTAAAATAAAGATGATGTCTTCACATACTTATTTCCAGGAATCAGAAACAATCCCTAGAATTCCTTGGAATAAGAAACATTTCCAAGAATTCCTTGGAATAAGAAACATTTCCAAGAATTCCTTGGAATAAGAAACATTTCCAAGAATTCCTTGGAATAAGAAACATTTCCAAGAATTCCTTGGAATTAGAAACATTTCCAAGAATTCCCAGGAATTAGAAACATTTCCAAGAATTCCCAGGAATTAGAAACGTTCCCAAGAATTCCCAGGAATTAGAAACGTTCCCAAGAATTCCCAGGAATTAGAAACGTTCCCAAGAATTCCCAGGAATTAGAAACGTTCCCAAGAATTCCCAGGAATTAGAAACGTTCCCAAGAATTCCCAGGAATTAGAAACGTTCCCAAGAATTCCCAGGAATTAGAAACGTTCCCAAGAATTCCCAGGAATTAGAAACGTTCCCAAGAATTCCCAGGAATTAGAAACGTTCCCAAGAATTCCCAGGAATTAGAAACGTTCCCAAGAATTCCCAGGAATTAGAAACGTTCCCAAGAATTCCCAGGAATTAGAAACGTTCCCAAGAATTCCCAGGAATTAGAAACGTTCCCAAGAATTCCCAGGAATTAGAAACGTTCCCAAGAATTCCCAGGAATTAGAAACGTTCCCAAGAATTCCCAGGAATTAGAAACGTTCCCAAGAATTCCCAGGAATTAGAAACGTTCCCAAGAATTCCCAGGAATTAGAAACGTTCCCAAGAATTCCCAGGAATTAGAAACGTTCCCAAGAATTCCCAGGAATTAGAAACGTTCCCAAGAATTCCCAGGAATTAGAAACGTTCCCAAGAATTCCCAGGAATTAGAAACGTTCCCAAGAATTCCCAGGAATTAGAAACGTTCCCAAGAATTCCCAGGAATTAGAAACGTTCCCAAGAATTCCCAGGAATTAGAAACGTTCCCAAGAATTCCCAGGAATTAGAAACGTTCCCAAGAATTCCCAGGAATTAGAAACGTTCCCAAGAATTCCCAGGAATTAGAAACGTTCCCAAGAATTCCCAGGAATTAGAAACGTTCCCAAGAATTCCCAGGAATTAGAAACGTTCCCAAGAATTCCCAGGAATTAGAAACGTTCCCAAGAATTCCCAGGAATTAGAAACGTTCCCAAGAATTCCCAGGAATTAGAAACGTTCCCAAGAATTCCCAGGAATTAGAAACGTTCCCAAGAATTCCCAGGAATTAGAAACGTTCCCAAGAATTCCCAGGAATTAGAAACGTTCCCAAGAATTCCCAGGAATTAGAAACGTTCCCAAGAATTCCCAGGAATTAGAAACGTTCCCAAGAATTCCCAGGAATTAGAAACGTTCCCAAGAATTCCCAGGAATTAGAAACGTTCCCAAGAATTCCCAGGAATTAGAAACGTTCCCAAGAATTCCCAGGAATTAGAAACGTTCCCAAGAATTCCCAGGAATTAGAAACGTTCCCAAGAATTCCCAGGAATTAGAAACGTTCCCAAGAATTCCCAGGAATTAGAAACATTCCAAGAATTCCCAGGAATTAGAAACATTCCAAGAATTCCCAGGAATTAGAAACATTCCAAGAATTCCCAGGAATTAGAAACATTCCAAGAATTCCCAGGAATTAGAAACATTCCAAGAATTCCCAGGAATTAGAAACATTCCAAGAATTCCCAGGAATTAGAAACATTCCAAGAATTCCCAGGAATTGGAAACATTCCAAGAATTCCCAGGAATTAGAAACATTCCAAGAATTCCCAGGAATTAGAAACATTCCAAGAATTCCCAGGAATTAGAAACATTCCCAAGAATTCCCAGGAATTAGAAACATTCCCAAGAATTCCCAGGAATTAGAAACATTCCCAAGAATTCCCAGGAATTAGAAACATTCCCAAGAATTCCCAGGAATTAGAAACATTCCCAAGTCCTTTTTTCAACTTAACATAGAACCTCCAATACCATAAACCTCTACCTTTCTAATCAAGTCACAATATACTGATATTAGGAGCTTTGCTAGAGTCAAAATTTACAAAGTCGTAATCCTTTCCATTATCAACTGCTCAAAATATTCTGGAAAGGAACATTTTAACAGTCTTTGCTACTGTGGCTCATGAGACATTCTGAGGCAAGTTATATAAACTTTGATTCGTGCTTGGTTATCTCAAAGTAAGCATCGAATTAGCGTAACAAAACAAGTCCTATTGGAAAGCAATTATGAGTAGAGTGCCCAAGGGCTCTGACCTGGGACCTTAGATGTTTATCATATTTGCCTAATTTGCCTAAACAGATTTAGGCAAACAAATAAAAAACAACTCTTATGAATTAAAACAAATGATATATAATTTATACAAAAATATATAATTTCAAAACTCATATTACAATATTGTAAAATTATACAGATTGGCTTTTAAAATGGGCTAGAGATTGCCAGATGCAGTTTAATGCTGAAAATGCATGGTTATTAGCTTAGATAATGATAAATTACAAATTACCACAACAGTTCCCATGGCGAAGGGGGTAATACACTCGCCTGGCATTTCCTGAGTGCTTTGGCCTGCATTCCTATCCTGGCTGGGAAGGATATTTTTGGCACCAATCCTTAACTGTAGCTTCTGTTCACCCAGCAGTGAATGGGTACCTGGTTATTAAACGATTTGGCGGGTCGTAATCCGGGAAAAATTAGGATTAAGGACTTGCCTGAAATGCTATGCGTGCTAGTGGCTGTACAAGAATGTAAGAACTCTTGCATATATAAATAAAATAAAAAATAAATGCAAAATAGTAGGGACTACAGCAAATAAGATACCTGTAATGGGATTTTCATCTGAAAGCATTGTCATTAAAACATCTAATATCATTCTTAAGCCTTTGTTAAGGCTTTGTTAGGCCTCATTTAGATCAAGTACTGTAGTTCAATTTTGGTGTATGATTAAAGTATGACAATGAATCATAGGTATAAGAAAATAGGCATAAATAAGGTTTTAAATTCTAGGTACCAACATGAAATAATGGATATAAACTGTACACTTTTAAATTCAGGAAAGCCCAGAAATTTACCTGGAGAGGGTTCTAATAGCTCTCCCCAAGCTCTGAGACTATCCTAATAATTTAGGTGCCTTATAGTGCCACCCCTGCACTAACACCCATGGCCTGTGACCCTCCCTGCACTAACACCCATGGCCTGTGACCCCCCTGCACTAACACCCATGGCCTGTGACCCCCCTGCACAAACACCCATGGCCTGTGACCCCCCTGCACTAACACCCATGGTCTGTGACCCCCCTGCACTAACACCCATGGCCTGTGACCCCCCTGCACTAACACCCATGGCCTGTGACCCCCCTGCACTAACACCCATGGCCTGTGACCCCCCTGCACTAACACCCATGGCCTGTGACCCCCCTGCACTAACACCCATGGCCTGTGACCCCCCTGCACTAACACCCATGGCCTGTGACCCCCCTGCACTAACACCCATGGCCTGTGACCCCCCTGCACTAACACCCATGGTCTGTGACCCCCCTGCACTAACACCCATAGCCTGTGACCCCCCTGCACTAACACCCATGGCCTGCAACCCCCCTGCATTAACACCCATGGCCTGCGACCCCCCCCCCCACCGTGCACTAACACCCAAGGCCTGCAACCCCCTGCACTAACACCCAAGGCCTGCAACCCCCTGCACTAACACCCATGGCCTGTGACCCCCCTGCACTAACACCCATGGCCTGTGACCCCCCTGCACTAACACCCATGGCCTGCGACTCTCCTGCACTAACACTCATGGCCTGCGACCCCCCTGCACTAACACCTATGGCCTGTGACCCTCCTGCACTAACACCATGGCCTGCCACCTCCCTGCACTAACACCCATGGCCTGCGACCCTCCTGCACTAACACATGGCCTGCCACCCTCCTGCACTAACACCCATGGCCTGCCACCTCCCTGCACTAACACCCATGGCCTGCAACCCCCTGCACTAACACCCATGGCCTGCCACCTCCCTGCACTAACACCCATGACCTGCCACCCCCTGCACTAACACCCAAGGCCTGCAACCCCCTGCACTAACACCCATGGCCTGCCACCCCCTGCACTAACACCCAAGGCCTGCAACCCCCTGCACTAACACCCATGGCCTGCGACTCTCCTGCACTAACACTCATGGCCTGCGACCCTCCTGCACTAACACCCATGGCCTGCGACTCTCCTGCACTAACACTCATGGCCTGCCACCTCCCTGCACTAACACCCATGGCCTGTGACCCTCCTGCACTAACACCCATGGCCTGCGACTCTCCTGCACTAACACCCATGGCCTGCGACTCTCCTGCACTAACACTCATGGCCTGCGACCCCCCTGCACTAACACCCATGGCCTGTGACCCCCCTGCACTAACACCCATGGCCTGCGACTCTCCTGCACTAACACTCATGGCCTGCGACCCCCCTGCACTAACACCCATGGCCTGTGACCCCCCTGCACTAACACCCATGGCCTGCGACCCCCCTGCACTAACACCCATGACCTGCCACCCCCTGCACTAACACCCATGGCCTGCCACCTCCCTGCACTAACGCCCATGACCTGCCACCCCCCTGCACTAACACCCATGGCCTGCCACCTCCCTGCACTAACACCCATGGCCTGCCACCTCCCTGCACTAACGCCCATGACCTGCCACCCCCCTGCACTAACACCCATGGCCTGCCACCTCCCTGCACTAACACTCATGGCCTGCGACCCTCCTGCACTAACACTCATGGCCTGCCACCTCCCTGCACTAACACCCATGGCCTGCGACCCTCCTGCACTAACACTCATGGCCTGCCACCTCCCTGCACTAACACCCATGGCCTGCGACCCCCTGCACTAACACCCATGGCCTGCCACCTCCCTGCACTAACACCCATGGCCTGTGACCCTCCTGCACTAACACCCATGGCCTGCGACTCTCCTGCACTAACACCCATGGCCTGCCACCCCCTGCACTAACACCCATGGCCTGCCACCCCCTGCACTAACACCCATGGAATGCGACCCCCCCCCTGCACTAACACCCATGGCCTGCCACCCCCTGCACTAACACCCATGACCTGCCACCCTCCTACACTAATACCCATGGCCTGCCACCTCCCTGCACTAACGCCCATGACCTGCCACCCCCTGCACTAACACCCATGGCTTGCCACCCCCTGCACTAACACCCATGGAATGCAACACCCCCCCCCCCCCATGACACATAAGGGGCATAACTGGCAATCCCCTCGCAGTGTTCAGGAGAGAACTGGATAAGCACCTCCAAAGGACACCTGATCAACCAGGCTGTGACTCATACGTCAGGCTGCGAGCAGCCGCGTCCAACAGCCTGGTTGATCAATCCAGCAACCAGGAGGCCTGGTCGATGACCGGGCCGCGGGGAGGGGACGCTAAGCCCCGGAAGCACCTCAAGGTAACCTTAAGGTAAGGTAGATAACCCCCTGCACTAACACCCATGGCCTGCCACCCCCTGCACTAACACCCATGGCCTGCCACCCCTCTGCACTAACACCCATGGCCTGCCACCTCTCTGCACTAACACCCATAACCTGCGACCCCCCTGCACTAACACCCATAACCTGCAACCCACCCTGCACTAACACCCATGGCCTGCGACCCCCCTGCATTAACACCCATGACCTGTCACCCCCCTTGCACCGGTCCGTCTAATTACCGAAAGCTAGCACAAGCTACACAAGCTTCACAAAGCTTCCTGGCAATACATTAGTAATGAATAAATATGATATATTTACTCATTATAATGTTGGTGCTGAATGTACAACACGAAAAAACATAATTTTAATCAGAAAAAGTATCTTTTTATAAAGAAATTAGATGAAAATAAAAGAGCTGGTAACGCCAAATCAAGTCGACGATCCAAGTGTCAATGTTGTGGAGCAACTTATCCAAGACAGATTGTTGCCTGGAGAGTGTTTGCTGGCATATCAGCCTCTTGTACACACGTCGCACTTCTCTACTCAAATTATCACAAATTGAAATAATGATATAAACTACAATAATGCACAGTTACAATAATATTTAGCATAAATAGCCAGAAAACATTGAAGTTGTATTAAAAAATAGGTGTCTGGAAGTGAAATTAACTCCATGGGACAATAGTTTTGTTATATAGATACTGATAATTATTCGCTGGTATGCCACCCCAGTAAATCCAAAGCGGAGTCACAGGCCCCGGAGCAGCGCGCGGTGTCACAGGCACCGGAGCAGAGCGCGGAGTCACAGGCCCCGGAGCAGCGCGCGGTGTCACAGGCACCGGAGCAGAGCGCGGAGTCACAGGCCCCGGAGCAGGGCACAGTGTCAGGGACGCCGCAGCAGACTGCGGTCCCTGGCAAAGGGAAACAAACAAAACAAGGCCCCAAAATCTGTTGGAATTACAAATGGGCAACCTGTAAGCATGGGGAATCGGGAAGAATAAATGGAATATGTACATACGATCACCCTAGAAAGTGCAGGAACCTCCTCAATACAGGTAAATGTACCAAAAGCTGTGAATTCTTTCACCCAGAAATTTGCAAGAACTCTTTGGACAGGAAAGAGTGCTTCAATGCTGAATGTCCAGCTTTTCATATAAGAGGTACCAGGCGAATAAAACAGACAGACTACCACTATGAAAGCAGCCACTACTCCATCGACCGGGATAATTTTTTAGCAAGAGGAGGAGGAGAAGAATGGCTAAAAATGACCTGACTCTACCACTAACTCGGTCAAATGCTAGAGAGGACGCAAACACAGTGGCCTCCTTACCAGAGCCTCAGATATTAACACCAAGTAAAGCATCCGGCACTTCCACTAACACGATAACATCATTTATATTTGCCAACATCCAGGGTATAAAAACACGCAAATCCAACAAAGTTCACTTTATAGATGGTCTCCATGAGGCAAATGCAGTGTTTGCAGCCCTAATGGAAACTCACACAAAGGACTACCTTGATGGTGAAATATGGATCTCATAATACAATCTCTTCAGATGTGATAGGAAACACCGGCCTCAGGGTGGGGTCAGCCTCTACATCAAAGACACACTCATCTGTACTGAGCTGCTAAACACCTCAAATGATATGGTGGAAGTGCTGATAGTCAAAATAGAGATCCTGAATGTAGTTGTTGTCCTTGTATATAAGTCACCGGAGGCAAACCCTCAGCAGTTTAAAGACCAACTAATGAAAATAGAGCACTGCTTGGAAAACCTAACAAATCCAGCTCCGAACATCATCCTGCTTGGGGACTTCAACCTACGGCACCTGAAATGGAAGCACCTGGCTAATACAGTAATATCAGAAAGAATACCAGGAAGTAGCCTAAATGAACAGGCACATGCAAATGACCTGCTACGGATGTGCGATAGGTTTGCCTTAAACCAGCAAATAGTAGAACCAACTAGGAAGGAGAACACGCTGGACCTCATTTTCACTAATAATGATGAGTTGATCGGGAACATAATGATTACAAATACCTGTTACTCAGATCACAACTTAATTGAAGTTCTGACAACCATGGGGAATGGACCTTCAAAACCAGTCCAGATTCCTGGTGGACGAGATTTCAGCAAATTCAACTTCAATAATAAACAGATAAACTGGGAGCAAATAAACCAGGACTTCACAGAAATAAACTGGGAAGAACAGCTAGAAAATGCAAACCTGAACCAGTGCCTGGAAAAAAAAAAACTCAGTAGCACTAGAAATATGTTCAAACTGCATACCCCTAAGAAAAAAGAGAAAGAGATGCAGATTGGAACGGGAACGTCGTTCCCTATATAGGCGAAGAAAACGAATCGCGGAACAACTTGAGAGTCGCACCCTATCTCAAGAACGGCGAAGAAGGTTAGATAGAGAAATAGAAACAATTGAACTCAAGCTACAAGAATCATACAAAACCCAGGAGAGGCAAAGAGAGCAAAAGGCCATCAGTGAAATAGAGAGAAATCCGAAATATTTTTTCTCCTATGCAAAATCAAGATCAAAAACCACATCTAGTATCGGGCCCCTGCGAAAAGGAGATGGAACTTTCACCGATGACAACAAAGAAATGAGCGAGTTACTGAGGAAGCAGTACGACTCTGTTTTCAGCGAGCCATTAAATGCACTAAAGATTGGTAACCCAAATGAATTTTTCATGGATATGATACCAACATCAAATCATATATCAGACGTCGCCCTATCCCCACTAGATTTTGAAGAAGCCATAAACAGTATGCCTATGCACTCTGCACCAGGCCCGGATTCTTGGAACTCCATATTCATCAAGAACTGTAAAAAACCACTACCGCAGGCCCTTCACATTCTGTGGAGACAAAGCCTAGATACTGGCGTTATCCCTGACATACTAAAAACAGCAGAGATAGCACCACTCCATAAAGGCGGAAATAAGGCAGAGGCAAAAAATTACAGACCGTTAGCACTAACATCGCACATCATAAAAAATTTTGAGAGAGTGCTAAGAAGTAAGATCACAAAATACATGGAATCATAGCATCTCCATAACCCCGGACAACATGGTTTCAGAACAGGGCGCTCTTGCCTGTCGCAGTTGCTGGACCACTATGATATGGCATTAGATGCTATGGAAGAAACAAAACGCTGATGTAATTTACACAGATTTCGCAAAAGCTTTTGATAATTGTGACCATGGTGTTATTGCACATAAAATGCTTTCAAAAGGAATTACCGGGAAAATTGGCAGATGGATCTACAATTTCCTGACTAACAGAACCCAATGTGTAATAGTCAACAAAATAAAATCCAGCCCATCAACCGTGAAGAGCTCAGTCCCCCAGGGTACCGTGCTTGCTCCAGTACTCTTTCTCATCCTCATATCGGACATAGACCAGAACACAACCTATAGCACTGTATCATCCTTTGCAGATGACACTAGGATTTTCATGAGAGTTGGCAACATAGAGGATACGGCAAATCTCCAGTTAGATGTAGATCAGGTCTTTCTAAGGGCTACAAAAAATAATACGGTGTTTAACGAAGATAAGTTCCAGCTCATGCGCTACGGAAAAATTGAAAGTATAAAAACAGAAACCACGTACAAAACTCAGGCAAACCATAACACAGAACAAAAAGGCAATGTAAAGGATCTGGGTGTACTCATGTCGGAAGACCTTACCTTTAAAGAACACAATAAAGTAGCTGTCACAACTGCAAGAAAAATGACAGGTTGGATAACAAGAACTTTTCACACTATAGATGCTATACCGATGATGATACTTTTCAAAACGCTTGTGCTCTCTAGAGTGGAGTACTGCTGCACAATGACAGCCCCTTTCAAAGCTGGAGAAATTGCTGACCTGGAGAGCGTGCAGAGATCCTTTACTGCTAGAATCCACTCAGTAAAACATCTAAATTACTGGGACCGACTAAAGAGCCTAAATCTGTACTCCCTTGAGCGCAGGTGGGAGAGATACATAATAATTTACACGTGGAAAATATTAGAGGGGCTAGTCCCAAACCTGCA